CTGTCCTCCAAAGAGCAAATGCACAGCCGAAGACAACAAATGGAAATAGTGAATCCCGGCTTTCTGGGGCCACAGACAGGCGTGTTTAAAGTGGTGCCATAAATTCAACAATAGCAAGTTTTAGAACGCACGTATTCTTTGTTCCAGGAACTCTTTTTTTAGAAATATATCATACCCGTGCATACAGATGTGAAATGGCATGTCCCATAGCCTTGTTGATAAAAGTCATGGGCTGGGACAGACCAAGTGCTTCAAGAAGACACATAAGTTAGGTATATTGCAAAACACACATTCAACCGACTGTTACACAGTTTAGCCTTATGTGTTTTGAATCAAACAGTTTCCCAAGGCTGTTAAATGAAAAAATTGGGGTTAAAGACTATAAACACAAACACACATTCTTGGGCTGAGGGACGATGGTAAATTTACTCATTATGTGAAAAAAGGGCGGGGGGCAAAGCAGTAGCCAGCACTTTCTAATCATTTACACAGTCACTACACAGATACTTAAATGTGGAAAAAAGGGAAGAGGATGGGACTGGAGTCACAGCCCAGTTGGTTGAGAACTTACCCTGCATGCACGAGGCCATGGTTCAAGATCCAGAACCACAAAAAAAGGAAGGAATAAGTAGACTTAGTAAGTTACAGTGATCATGTGAGGGGTAAATTCAAAGTGGTTTTGACTCACTTCTAGAATATGCCTGGATGGATGCAGAAGAAATTAGGACCAATGGCTGCTCCTCAGGAAGTGGGTGAAGCTGGGTAGATGGCTCAGTTGGTAAAATGCTTGCCCTACAAGCAGGATGACCAGAGTTCGATCCCGCAGAAACTATGTAAAAATGCTAGGCATGGTGACACGACCTTGTGACTCCACCCTGGAGAGGCGTAGACAGGAGCATTTCTGGGACCAACTGGCCAGCCATCTATCCTGACTGAGCCCTGGCACAGGGAGAAAACTTTAATTCTCCCCATCATCCTGTTTCAGCCTCCCAAGTGCTGGGATTACAGGTATGCACCACATCACCGGGCCTAAAAATGACTTTCTAATTACTTTTTTTCTGGGTCTTTTTGAGACAGGGTCTCCCTGTAGCCCCAGCTGTCCTGGTACTCGCTATGTAGACCAGGCTGGCCTTGAACTCACAGAGATCCGCCTGCCTCTGCCTCCCGAGTGCTGGGATTAAAGGCGTGTGCCACCACGCCTGGCCCTTTAATTACTTTTAACTACCTCATTTAGTTCCAAGCAAGAGCTCAGTAAATGCTTCTGATTGTTTTCTGTTTAAAAAAATACTCTTCTTGATTTTTTTTGAGAATTTCATACAATGTGTTTTGATCATATTCAGACCCTCCCAATTCCTCTCGGATTCACCCCCATTCCCTACCGCAAACTTACTTCATACCCTCTATCATTTCATTTCTTTTTTAATTGAACTTTTGAGATTTTCATACAATACGATTTGACGGTACTTAGATCTCCTCCCCTGTGTGTACCTCCCCCCTGCCCCCTCCCAATTTACTGTTCTCTCTTATATATGTAATATGGCCTATAGAGTCTGATTTGTGTCTCTAAATGTCCCTCAGTAGGGGCCCATCCACTGGGCCCACCAAGAGTCCCACCCCTGAAAGACCCTGTCTCTCCTCCTCTCAGCAGCCATCAGTTGCCAAAAGTTCCTTAGGTTGGGTTGGGATTTCTTACCCACTTCCCCATATCTCTGCTGGAGTTTTGTCTGGTTTGAACTTGTATAAGACTTAATGCATGCTGTCACTATTGCTGTAGTTTATATGAGTAACTTACTAGCTGTCTGGAAGACTGTGTTTTCTTATGGTCATCCACCACCTTGGTCTATTACAATCTGTCTTCTGTTCCACAATGATCCCTGAGCCTTGGGATGCAAAGGTTTGAACTAGTGTCCTGCTCAGGGATGAGCCCTCTGCAGCCTCTTGTTCTCTGCACATTGGCCAGTTGTGGGTTTCTGTGTTAATCACTGTCTGCTGCATAAGGAAACTTCTCTGGTGAGAGCTGAGAGATACAATCATCCTATATGTAGAGGTTTCATTAAAGATGGGCCAGGCATGGTGGCACACACCTTTAGTCCCAGCACTCAGGAGGCAGAGGCAGGTGGATCTCTGTGAGTTTGAGGCCAGCCTGGTCTCCATAGCATATCCAGGCCACCTAGGACTACAGGGAGACCCTGTCTCAGAAAGACCGAAAAAAAAAAGAAAAAAGAAAAAAAGAGATGTGTCACTGAGGGTTAAGCATCTCACAGACACTTCTTCTCTGCGTTTGACCAGTTCTGGAACTCTGTAAGTCTCCATCTGCTGCAGAAAGAAGCTTCTTCGGTGAGGGGTGACAGGTACACTTGTCTGTGACTAGGAGGATGTATGGTTAGACTAAAGTAAGGAATTACATTAGGGATGTGGCCGAAGTAGCTTTTACCAGGATCTATGACCTCTCCAGCCACGTGTATTTGGCTCTGTTTCCAGTGCCACACATAAATTCCTTCCCATTGAGTGAGCCTTAAATTCCAATTAGACAGCTGTTGATTACCCTCCAGATAAAAGTCCACTACTGTGCCAATAGCAATAGTTTGCTGGGCCAGTTGTTTTTTTGTTTTTTTTTGTTTTTAAGCTTTACAGCTAGGTAGGACCATTGGTTGGTTTTCCCCTTGACGGCTTGTATGGTATCCTCCACTACCATGAGAGCTAGTCTTCAGGGAGGGGGCTTCCAGGTCAATTTCAACTCAGGTGTTCCAAGTCCTTTGTCCAAAGTATGGCCTGTCTTCAGCAATGGGGTCTTCATTTCAAGTTCTGAGAGGTAATCAAGGGCTGTGTCAATAGCCTCTGTTATTTTGGGAGTCCCTTGGACTGTCCTGACCAACAACTCAAAGGGCACTTTCCTGCCTGGCACTCTGTTTTTTGTTATGCACCCTTCAGCTATATACATGTGCTCATATATTTACTGTATGTGTTTTTCAGTAGGACTTTGAACTAATACATTTCCCTCTGGTTTTTCATAGCAACTAGGCATTATTTATCTCTCCTCTCACTCTTTCAAGCATCTGCGCTGCTGGTGTGTGTGTGTGTGTGTGTGTGTGTGTGTGTGTGTGTGTGTGTGTGTTTGCGAGTGTGCATTTCCAAGCTCCTCTATTTACATGGTGTGTATATTCAGAAAGGTGAACTCTTTCTTTTTTTGACCTGGATTGTGAACAGACAGCCTAAATAGGTCTAAGCATCTGAATCATAATCTTTCCATTTACACTTTAAATAATTTACTCTGGTTCTGTTTCCTATCCTGACACCGAATAGTGCAGGCTTCATAGGTCATCAGTATTTCAGATGCAAAACAGAACTTTGTCCAAGAGTCTCTCCAGAGGTTGAGTACCTGCTACACCACTGTCTTCTGCTTGTTACAGATCCATGCTGGGGACCTCTCCTAGATGTGAAAAATAGTGACTATCCTCAGGGGGAAGTGCAAGAAACTGTCATGTAGAGACGAAGTTTTATGTGAGGCCTTGTCCGCTGACAAGGTTGAGCTGAAATGCCCAAATCCTTTCTTGTTCTAGAAATGGTGATCATCTTCAAAAGTTGGTAGTTTGCTTCAAAGTCAACATTGACAAGTTTCCACAGTTTCGTAAACACTTGTTAAGATTATTATCTCTTAAAGGTGCTCACTTTTCATTCTAGTTTCTAGAGCTGCACTTTCTGAATGAAAGCCTAAGAGCCACGTTGTGCTTCCTTCGTTGACTGACCTTAATTCAATTGCCTAAAGAATCTGAAAACAACCTCAGACTCTCCTTATGTGTCCCCCTAAAGTGAAGGCATGGTTCAAAACGAAATCCTTGGAGTTTCTTCCCATCTGACAGTTCTTGAATAGCATAAAGGTTATCTTTGATCAGATACAATATGTTGAAATACCCACCACAGCTTAGCGCCTGTCACATAATAGACACTGGGCTCTGGGTGGCCAGAGAGGAACCCCATTGCTTTGAACTGAATTGACTCACTTGCATATTTGTCTGGCTAGAATTTTCTAATTAAATTAATTGATTGTATTTTGATCTCATAATAGAACAACAGAGCAACCAAGAGGCCAAAGTTAATTGTGCTTAAACAGAAAATGAGTGGGAATCAGGGACATACACACACACAGAAAAATCACAGTCTCTTTGTTACCATAGTTTTCTAACATAAAACTGAAGGTTTGCAAAACAGCGTTGTGAAGCGGTACGAAGAAATTTGGAATACCCGTGTGATGGACTCCCCGGCATGGGCAGTGCTGACCCATTGTGTCTCTGGTTTCAGGGAAGCAAACAAATGCCACATCATGAAATACATATTAAATGGGATGCCCGGAGGAATATAAGGGGGTATGTGTGTGTGTGTGTGTGTGTGTGTGTGTGTGTGACTTAACATTACAATAAATTAACAGCTTCCAGATGATTTTGGCACAGAAGTAGTCACTATATCATTCACTACTGAGAATGTAAAATACCAGGGCTAGAGAGATTGCTCAGTGGTTAAGAACACTGTTCTTGCAGAAGACCCGGGTTTGAATCCCAGGACACACATGTCAGCTAACAACTGTAGTTCCAGTTCCAAGGGCTCCAACAACCTCTTCTGTCCTCTGAGGGCATTGCACGGCACAGGTGCACTTACCTACATGCAGGCATAACACTCACACACATAAAATAATAAATAAAATTTTAAAAAATGTAAAATATCAAATGTCTAAAAAGTAGGAAATTGATTATATTATGGTATATCCATAAAATAGAAATGCAGGCAGAGATGGACAAAAACGGCAATGACATTATCAACAAAGGAAGCTTGTGTGCTCTAACCTAATGATGAGAAAGCCACAATCAGATTTATAAATATTGTTTGACTCAGCTATACTTAAAACTCTATGTAGAGACAAAAAGGTTTTAAAGAAATAAGCTAAAATCAATACTGGCAAGTAATGCCAGTCACCATTTGTTTGTTTACAAGGACGAAAGATTTCCAGTATTTTGCAATGTGTGTATCATTCTTAGATCAGGGAAATATTAACCCCCAATTAAATCTCATCATAGGCATTCCAATCCGAACAACCCTGGACAACTCCACAACAGTTCAATATGCAGGTCTTCTCCATCAGCTGACCATGAAGGCCAAGAGCACCGTCCGTGACATCGATCCTCAGAATGACCTGACCTTCCTTCGGATAAGATCAAAGAAGCACGAGATCATGGTAGCCCCAGGTAACTGGGCATGACATTTCGTACCTGAATGTCTTTCTTCTTTACTGGTTAAAAGCCTCATTTCAAAGACTGGGGGAGCGTGGATTTTAATATGCAGTATGAAACAGTGCAATTTGATTACAAAAACAAAGGTGTTTGATTCTCAAGCTCCCAACTTGAAAGTATATGAAATCAGAAAATAGGCCTTTGAACAAGCTGAATTTTTCTCACACCTATTAGTAATCAAAAAAGATCTGGAAAGCTTGGCACACAGACTCTCTGGATAGCAGTCACAGAAATGTCCTATCCAGGAAAGAACGTAGGAGATGGATCCAAGGCCTATAATGTGGCTGCCCAGGGAGGAGAGCATGGCCAACTGGTCTACCGAAAGACATGGCCACAGGACACTACCTTGAAGGAATCGTGTTCACAGTGTTTCTTAATAGCTGTATTGACTGAATGTATGTGAAGGACACGAGAGTCATGAAAGGGAATAAAGTCTAATCCTCTAGTTTCAATTCGGACATAGTTTTTTTTCTTTTGTGTGGTGGATAAGTGTGTAAAGATGTGATAGTGAAGGTGAAGCCCCAAGTGAAGCTCCTGGCATCAGGAAGGCCATTCACACCGTAAACATTCACTGAGATGCGTAGAGTGTGGACTGGGCAAGAGTCCAAGGACACTCTTGATCTAGCTGTGTGATGTTTTGATATGTGAGTTCCTTACAATGAAATGGTTAAAATAAATATGTCATCGTCCCAAACCTAGCACACAGAGCATCATCACATCAGATGAATAAGTAAAGCCGTGTCCCCACCCCTGACGCACTAATACCACTTGTACAGTGTTGTTCTTTAACTTCCCAAGTCTATGACACCAAAACAATGAAATCGGAACCCTTCTCCCAGCCTGTGTGCTTTAACTCTTACAGTGCACCACGGGGATTCTGATATGCACGCATTGGTCTACATAACATCCACGTGAAGTTTAGAAGAGAACAGGCTAGCCGAAATGTGGACTAAGTGTGACTTTGAGAATGAATTAACTTTGTCTCTCCCCAGATAAAGAGTATCTTCTAATTGTCATCCAGAACCCATGTGAGTAGACCTGCGCTGGCCAACTC